CCCCCACTCGGGAATCGAACTTTGGTTTCCTACGTCCCACAGCGAAGTCCCTTATCGCTACACCACAGACGCCGGTACTCATAGTGTGAATTCACAAAACCAAACACTTTATAAAAAGGAACATTTTTTTCATTCTTGTGTAATATAATAGTACAATAGTTCAAGATAAAAAGATCTCTTTATAAGAACCAATGTATCCTCTTGCTTCCAAAGACCTGAAAGCAATTGCAACCATCTTTTAAAACATACGTCAAATCATTGTTACGTATCAGCAGATCGAATCATATTACTGCCCTGCGGAGTTACCACTTGATTTTCACTGAGCAAAAAAGACCACGGTCAAATTACTATTCCAAATAGAACGAATAGAAGTGTGCAAGGTTCGGATTATAAGTGCATGTACTGTCGATAGATCCATCAAAGTGATTTTTACAAATCAAATCGAAATCCTTGTCAAATTCTTGATGAACCTACTCATGTAATAGGTTTAACACTGTGTGTTTTTGGCTCAAACTACGTTGCAGTGATTTTCCAAGCCAGAGAGTTCAGAAAGTAGCCTTGCACGCTGACAACTGTGTAGTTTAAGCCTTCCACTTGAAATGCCTCAACGACAGAGTTGTACTTTGTTGACCTAACTAGTCCCGAGCCCTCAAGGACCGGGCGGCCAAAAGGAAAGTCCAGTCTGCGACAAAGAATGACAAAGAGGTTCCGATTTCAGAAATGGCAGCAAGGCGACAGGATCACGCGACTAATTGATCATATTTCGCTACCCTAGAATTACAAATATCTATCTGCTCAGAGAATCACAAAGTTCTATCTGCTCAGAGAATTACAAAGTTCTATCAGCTCAGAGAATTACAAATATATATATATATCTGCTCAGAGAATTACAAAGTTCTATCTGCTCAGAGAATTACAAATATTTTTCTGCTCTATAAGACGCATGCTACGTATCCCATGGACAGTTGGAAAACAAATGAAGAAGTCTTGGTTGAAGCAAATTATAGAAGACAGCTTGTGACGAATATAAGACAGCGACAGGCAAATTTCTTCGGACACACAATGCGGAAAGAAGCATTGGGGAATATTTTAACAACAGGCAAGTTTGATGGAAAGAGAGGCAGAGGCAGAGGCAGACAGAGGGAAAAGATACTGGACAAGATGACAACATGGCTAGGAGCAGCAAGAACAACAGACACCATTGCTGCAACGCAAGACAGAGTGAAGTGGAGGTCCATGATCGCCCACGCCAGTCGGCAAGGCACTGGATGATGATGATCTGCTCACTGCCTAGTTTTGAGAAATTTGATGATAAAAATGGTGAATTTCACAATATTATATCAAGATTTTCAAATCCAACTCTTTGAATATCTTTATACCGACTCCGAATTATCCTACGCTTTTGATAGAGCAGATGGAACATTTTGGTTTTTGACCTCATGGTCTAAGTAAATCAAAGTGGCCAAAAATGTTAGATAGAATATTGTAATTCTATGGCAGCGATTAGTTGTCTCGTCTCGTTATGACAGCTCCCACTGGAATAAGGCACACGACTTTAGAGAGAACCATGGTGGTGGCAAAATCGCAGGAAAAAATATTTCTGAGTGTGAATATGCGCTTTATACATACAATTATTATTATCATTATTGTTGATATTATTCTTATTCTTATTCTTATTCTTATTGTTATTGTTATTCTTATTTTATTATTATCATCATTAATATTATTATTGTCATGTAAAATTTGCAGCCGCCCTTAAGTCTCCATCTCTTTTTCTGCTCTTGTTAGGTTATTGTAGCACCTCTAATCTCGGGCACTTATACGATCTAATTACACGGTGTTGCAAGTGCCGTAAAACTTGTACTAAAACTTAAAGAAAAACGACAGAGAGAGAGAGAGAGAGAGAGAGAGAGAGAGAGAGAGAGAGAAAGAGACAGAGACAGAGACAGAGACAGAGAACGTAATACTTAGTGCGTTTGTCGTCTATAATGTGGGAAGAGATATGTACTGAACTGTGATAAAATCAAAGGGAAAAGGATCAGAACATTATTATTATGCAGTGGCACGAGGTGGATCAAGCCTCAGGCAAAGGGAACGTGCGGGACAGGCAGTCACACGAAGCAAAGAAATAACCCCCACATTAGCACAATTTAAGAAGGATTTATAGGGCACACTGAATACATTTCTCTTCACCTAGCTTGGAGGTATATCACCTCACCCCTAATTTCCTTCCAACACCCACGTATTTGTCACTATTTTTTTTTCAAATGCTCTACTTTAAACTGATGTATTTTTTTCTTCTTACGTGTTTGAACAAAGCTCATTATTTTGAGACAGATCTGATCTGCTGCGGTGTCGCGATAAGAAAATATGATACTAACAGTAATGGTTTATTTAGTCGTTTTGTGGGTATGATTCACACAATAATATGAGCATACCGTTACGGTTTTTGCTCGAGGCACATTAGCTGTGTAGGCCTAACGTTCTGAATCTTGCAAAATTTATGTTTTGAAGATCACTACTACTTTTAATCTTAAAAGGTAGGGAAGAGAGGAAATTTTACTTTCGTAAATTTCCTGATGTTTCAGCTTACACAAACATTAGAATGATCTGGAATTTCATGTTACTCTCTGAAAGAAATACCAAGTTTCGTAAGTGAATTTACTCACTTTTATTGAACATACGAGCACCCAAGCACACACCTGCACACATACCTGCACACACACACACAAACACACACATACACACATACACACCCATACAAACCCATGCACACACATACGTAAACACACTAACACCCACACAAACACATACACATATAATACATACCGCCTTTCATCCTATCTTTCTTAACTAAACTATGTATCATTCCTATTTCTATTTTTCATCCTAATACCAGGGTGTTACAGCTCTAAGAGCCAATGTTCCCTTCTATATCACAGAGCTGCTTGTCCCTTAACATCCCACAATTATTATGAATCCCGCGCTCAACACAACGATGTCTGTCTCCAGAAATACGGTGATCGGGCTTTCACATTCTTTGACGCATAATAATTGTAACAATTTGCCTAATAAGCTGTGATCTATCTCTATATCGTTACTTAGAAACTTTAAAAAGTGTGATAACTTATCAGTTGAAAAAATGGCATCATCCTGCCAGTGTAAGTTGATGCTCTTTGGGGTGTTAATTTTGATGTATAAGGAGGGCTAAGTGATTGTGTGCGTACCCGTCTGCTTATAATTATAATATATTATGCACGTGTGTGTGTGTGTGTGTGTG